CCTCCTGGGACTTTGTCGCTCAAACCTGATGGCAACTTCTTCTTCTCGGAAATTTTTCAAAGTCCAAACCTAACCTCGGGGACCTTTCCAAACAAAGGATCTGGATCCAAACAAAGGATTTAAAAAAACTTTAAAAAAAAACGGTAGAGTGGTTCCGGCCGCCCCTGTAAGCCCTCCGTTAGGAGAACCCAGTGGAGACGCAGTCGGGTCGACCCCAGAAACTGCTCAGATCACCGAAAAGGCTTCTTCGGCCCAGTACTCCAGAGAAGGAGACCGGGTCTAAATCTGCCAAGCGACGGCTGGCGGCACACGCTATCTCTGCCACCGGTTAGGCGGGCTTCCGGCTTAGAGGCGTTCAGCCGTTAACCCGCGGACGGTAGCCTAGCACCGTTGGCCTTCCGGCCAGGCGCACATACCAAATTTCCGAACCTGCGGTTCCTCTCGTACTGAGCTCGATTGCTATCGCAAAAACTATCCATCAGAAGGGTAAAACTAATCTATCTTACGACGGTCTAAACCCAGCTCACATTCCCTGTTAGTGGGTGAACAATCCAACGCTTTGCGATTTCTGCTTCGCAATGATAGGAAGAGCCGACATCAAAAAATCAAAAAGCGACGTCGCTATGAACGCTTGGCCGCCACAAGTCAATTATCCCTGTAGTAACTTTTCTGGCACCTCTCGCTTAAAACTCGTAAATTCGAAAGGATTGATAGGCCCCGCTTTCGCGGTCCGTACTCGTACTGAAAATCAGGATCAAGCCAGCTTTTGCCCTTTTGCTCTACGCGAGGTTTCTGTCCCCGCTGAGCTGGCCTTAGGACACCTGCGTTACATTTTGACAGGTATACCGCTTCAGTTAAACTCCCTACTGGACACTTTCTCCGGAGCGGATCGCCTGAGAGTCGAGTGACTCCAGGTTTCAAAGCCATACGGGCCCCGAAATTCGGGGCTTCCTCCGCACTACCGAGTAAGTAAAGAGACGATGAAGGTAGTGGTATTTCAACGGCGCTACCAAGATGATAACTCCCACTTATTCTACACCCTTCATGTCCCTAAACAATGTCTGACTAGAGTCAAGTTTAACAGGGTCTTCTTTCCCCGCTGATAGTGTCAAGCCTGTTCCCTTGGCTGTGGTTTCGCTAGATAATAGATAGGGACAGTTGGGAATCTCGTTAATCCATTCATGCGCGTCACTAATTAGATGACGAGGCATTTGGCTACCTTAAGAAAGTCATAATTACTCTCGCCGTTTACCCGAGCTTCATTGAATTTCTTCATTTTAACATTCAGAGCACTGGGCAGAAATCACATTGCGTCAACATCTCTTGCAGACCATCGCAATGCTTTGTTTTAATTAGACAGTCGGATTCCCAGGGTCCGTGCCAGTTCTGAGTCGGCCCCATAGCGTCCGTCGTACCTCCGCGGTTCCCCCGGAGAGGGGCTCCGCGAAAAAAACTGCGTACTTCCACCCCGCAGGCACATATCAGTCCGGGAACGAACCCAGTCCGAACGGTACGCAAACAGGGCTTCGGAGACACAGCCCGACGAACGGGGCCCCCAGAGCCAATCCTTATCCCGAAGTTACGGATCGAATTTGCCGACTTCCCTTACCTACATTGTTCTAGTGACTAGAGGCTGTTCACCTTGGAGACCTGATGCGGATATAGGTACGGCCCGGCACGAAAATCATAGACTCTCCCTCGGATTTGCAAGGGCCCGTAAAGGGGTCCCAGGCACAACTCGTGAAACGAGGTGCTCTTTCGAGACCGCCTGTCCCTATCTCGGCATGACACCTTTCCAGGGACTTCGCACCTCTTACGAAGAAAAGAACGTATCTCTTCCCTGGTGCCTCCACGGGCGTCTCCGAGTTCGTTTGCGTTACCGCACCAGAGACCGAGGTCTCATTTATTTCGTGTCCGGGTTCGGGAATCTTAACCCGATAACCTTTCGTCCATAGCGTGACTCTTAAAGTCTCGCCTAGCAAGGATCTCTCCGTTGGCTAAGGACCGACTCACCCATGTGCAAACGCTGTTGACATGGAACCCTTCTCCAACTTCAGTCCTCAAGGTTCTCACTCGAGTATTTGCTACTACCACCAAGATCTGCACCGGCAGAGGCTCCAGGCAGGCTCGCGCCACGCCCTTCCATGCCACCGCCGCGACCCTCCTACTCGGTTCTCCACTAAAAACAAGTTTGGAGAACAGGCCGAGTATGGGCTCGACGCTGGAGTGCCAATCCATTTTCAGGAATAAAAGAACGGAGTTTACCCGGAAGACTTTTAATTTATATATTTCTTACTATATATAAACACTCATGATAAATTCCTTTCATTTATTGGTCATAACATTTTCAAAGCTTATAAAAATTTCCTTATACAATATACGATGAATATTTACGTTTATTCACCAGTAAATAAAGAAACAATTTCTTTAAAATTAAAATAAATAACACATGCTCCATCTTGCATTACTCATCATTAGTTGAAGTTAAATGATTTATTTTTTTCCAGTAAAGTTTATAATATTTAAAACAAGAAATTAAGGATAGTGAAATTATTTTAATAAATGACTTAAACATGCAAAGGGAATTTCAAAATGATTTAATTTCATAATAGGACGAAAACATTTACTCTTTAAAAGCTCTTGACCCCCTAGACCCCCTAGTGATCTTTTTCTTTCCAGTGGGGCTTACTGTCTTTGGTAAACATGGGTGACGCGCCCCGGGTTACCCTAGGGATCCTACTCTATTTTCAATCTTTCTCCTTGTCAATCACTTTTTGATTTTTTTTAAAATTTATTCTCGTCTAGACCACAGTTAAATCTTCTTTTGTGCAGCACAGCCATATCTGGCTCTTGCGTCAATAAATTTACATTCAATCACTCTTTAAGAACTCTAATCTAGGAAATTCAAATTTAATTTTCAATATTAGAATCTATTGAATGTTTGCTTAAAATTAGTAATTCAGTAAATATTTGCTTAGAAATTATATTGCATTGATTGATAATATTTAACATACTATATCTTTAATATATTAAGATATAACTTGAGAGAGGAAATATATCATATGAATTACGGTATATTATTTGATAAACTTAATTTAATTTTCATTCTTCACATTTAACACAGCAAAAATAGAGTGATTCTTATGTTAAGTACAGGATTTTTAAATTTTCTTTGAACAATGTTTTTTTAGCGGCAAAAGGGAAAATTCAGAAACAGCGTTTTGTATATTGTTGTAGATAATCAATCATTTGTTTAAATATGTCTACATCATTTAAAATCATTCAAAATTCTACGAAGAACTGAAAATAATTAAACATTTAAACGACATTTTATAACTTATAGTTTTTTTAAGAATTAGTGATGATATTTTCTAAAAGATGTAAATCTAATGAGTATCTCAAAATCTGCAATTTTTGGTAGAAATTGAAATTGATTCTCCCTATGCTTGTTACACCCATATTAAATGTTTTGTCAATTACAAATATTACGAAATAGTTTTTAAATATTTAACCATATTATTAAATATTGTTTCTGAGCTTATTTTATAATATCTACATCAATTTATATTGAACGTGAGTATATTAAGAGATCCAGCGCATAGCTTATTTTAGATTTCGAATAAACTGGTTTGACTTAACATATTGGTGATTATATGGATTAAATCAAGTCAATTACTCAAATGATTGAGTTTCATTCGTATTAATTCGTTTTTGAAGTATGTAGTAGAGCAAAATTGAATGAATGAAGAGCAAAAAATGTTGTCCGTAAAATGTTTATTTTTTAAAATTAAATTGAGAAATAAATGTAAAATATCCTCTTTTATTTAATTTTTAACAAATATTTGATATGATAATTTGTACAGTGTCTCAAAAAAAGAATTACACTATGAAGGACGATGTCTGTTTGATCTCAATAACAGAAATTTTATTGATTAATTTAAAATATTTACGAAGATATGTATTAAAAATATCACATTTCTTGTCCTTTTTCCCATAAAAAAAAAGTTCATAATTATTTTATTTCTTTCAACGATTATGATCACATGTGTTGTAACACATCCATCAGTAACTCCCGAGACTAACATTGAAAACAACATTTTTTTTTTTGCAAAATTTTTTTTTATTCATCAACATAACACCTTTTGTTAATCACCTTTTAGGGTGATACAATCGTTCCAACGCTTTTCCAAATCTTTTTTTTTTCTTTTTCTTTTCCGCAAGAAATCTTTTTTGTTGCGAGTAAATAGCGATAAACAGCTTTCTGAATCATCGACTCGTTGCTGTTTTTGTTCCATCGAAAGCAATCGCGGCACCCTCTTGGAAAAAACCTTTTTCACTTCACTTCAAAAAACCTTTTTCCTGGTCCGATCGACTTAAAATTTTGACACGTTTCAAGCAAAGGTTAGTACTCTAGAAAGACCTGGTTACTGGTTTACTACGAGCGCCATCTCTGGGTTAGTCTCGGGAGTTATTGATTGATGTGTTATACATTTAACGATGGTCAAACAATTTTGAAATTGTATAAGTGTATTTTTTTTCATATTCTTGACAGTAAATCTTTAAAGTGGCCATGGTCATGAACTCGTGGTCGGTTTTATTATCCTAAAGTCGTGGTTTCGAGTCCTTGGGTGCAGTGCAACTGCAGACTTGTTGTGTTTCGAGACTGATACATGTTACAAATTTAATTAAAAATCTGCTATTTTCATTAAGAGAAATATGTTCAATTTTTTTCAAGGAATTATAAAGATATCAGGAGAATGTAGAATCCATTTAGGTGGAATGTTCAGAATTTGACCGTGTTTCGAAATCACATCAAGTGGTCAATGTCGCAAGCACGCGAATGATACATGATACAAATTTAATTAAAGCTCTGCCAGTTTTATTAAGAGAAAGGTTTCAATTCTTTTCAAGGAATTATAAAGATATCAGGAGAATGTTGAATCAATTTAAGGGTAACTAACCGAATTTGAACGTGTTTCGAAACCACATCAAGTGGTCAAGCAAGCACGCTACCGGATTGGGTTTCTGCAGAGTCGAGAGTTCGAATTATGATGCCACTGAGAATATGTGCAATAGTGGGGACGAAGCACAATTGAAATGACGGGAAAAAGTGGTCAAGTTGATTGGAATGGAATTCTGGAAAACTGTGCCATCTCGAGTGTCGTCCTTGTCTCTTGATTGGACTTAAAATTGCGTCACCAATGAGATCCATCCAACCTAGGGCACAATCACGAGGTAATTGTGAATACAACCAGTTGGATGTATTCACCTCAGTCAGGATCCCTTAATAATTTTCAATATAACCAATAAGAGCCGCAGCTACTGCTGTTGCGTCCTCTAGTAACGAATTATACTCATAACTTTCATGCTGTTTCTTAAACGACTTTGATAGAGATAATAGCTCTTTTTTTTGCTCTATATACGATAAAATCAACCAATCAGTCAAACATTTTAGTAAGAAGTAAAAATCAGCGCAACAAATTTTTGAAAAGGAATTTTAATTGCATTTTATATCTTAGATGAGACAATAATTATTTAAATTCATTCTTTTAGAGCTCCTCGTGTGTTACTTTTAAGTAAATCTAAATAGTGAAAATTGATAATTTGTTAAAAATTTTTAAAATGCCTGAAATCTTCCCATTCGTAAGTAAGATTTAGAATACTAAGTAATAGAATTATTTATAGCTTCCAATATGATTATGGACCACTTTTATTATGAATAAAATAGATAACACGGGTTTAAGGTGACTGAAATAATATTTTTTGTTTGGTTAAAAGAAAGTAAACAATATAGTCATAAATTGACTCCTAATCTGTTTGTTTTGTACTATTTATAAGCAAATAGCTACATAGTCTATTTTAGAAAAAATGATTTGATGTTTTCAAAAATTCATTGAATAAATAATCATCTTTATTCTAAGAAGTTTCTTAAAACTAGTGAACTTATTTACTGAAACGTGAAAAATATTGCAAATGTATTTTGATATTTATAATTTTTTCCCTTACATTTTAAACCCAATGAATTTGGTATTGAAAACATAACTTAATGTTTTACCGATCCATTGAAATGAACTAATGTAGGGAAAGATATATTGTGAATTTTCCTTTCTTTTAAATCATATGAAATTATTAAAAAGTAACGAATGTGTGTTTAATTTAATAGTAATTCGTAGATTAATCATAATCGGATTTAATTTAATTGAATTTTTGAAACAATAATCAAAAAATGGCTTCTCAATCTCATAATTGCTACTTTTCCCCCCAAAGATTTCATTCAAGAATGAAGAGTTGTCCAATTTTTTTAAGATTATAATCCTTTCCTTCTCGAAAAGAAACACGTTTCTGTAATGAATTTTTTTTATCAAAAATGGAAATTTTTTACATAGAATGCAAGTTTTTGTCCTTGTTTCCTTTGAACTTTCTTTGCTGCTAACCTTTTCAAAAATCAACGACAGATATGAACCATAAAATAATAAACAATAAAAAAAAATTTAATGTCAGTAAATTTTAAATTCATAATAGTGAAAATTATTTAAATCCTTAAGTAAATCTCTTTGAACAGTTGATTAGATTAAGATACAATGATATTCTTCGAACATCCACATTGAACAGATTTTCAACAGAAAATTTAACTGAAACCTGTCACGAATTTTTACAAATATAAATTCATAATTCTAAAGCCTTAAAGTAATTTAAAGAAAAAAAAAAACTATAAAATACTTTATTGGAATTTTATGATGTTACTTAGGCTCATTTCTAATTTTTTAATCGTGAAACAAGCGGCAGCCGAAGTAAACCAGTGGTCGTAATAGCGAGTTCGCGGCCGGCGGTTTTCATTGAGTCATAAGTTCGATTCTAAATGCCGTTAAAGACCCACCGATTAGCCATAGTTTTTGCACTTTAAATCTGTGGAAGCTCCGAGGTTCTGTCGGTATGGTGTGAAAGCTAAGAAGGAGGGTTCCAAATTTGGTACCATCTCATCACTTGACCCGGATTCAAAATTACGAGGTCTGTCGCCAATACCCCAACTGAAAGTGGTTTTGAATCACAGTATCTGCATCCATTTTAGTAGGAAATTAAGACGTCAATGGAATACAAATTGATATGCAGTCCAAAAGAAAGAAATGGGGAAAATAATCAAAGTGTTAGAACTTTAGAAATGTGGAATGAGAGGGTGATTGTCTATGAGTTTGTAGCTCTAAGCCCTTTGGATGAGCTCGGTCCCCTTGAGCTTCTGCCATTAAACCT